TAAAAAAAAAAAAAAAAAAAAAAAAAAAAACTGGATAAAGAAAATAAAGATAAGCATATTCTTTATAAAATGTAGACAAATTAATATTTTATAATATCTGCAGAAATATTAAATTACAGATAATAAATATATCAATGTTTAAAAAAAAAAAAAAAAATGTAAAAAAGGTTTAAAATAATTAATATATTCAAATTTAAAAATATTTCAAAACAAATATATTATTAGTCATTTTTTTTTTTTTTTTTTTTTTTCTGTAAAATATTTTAATGTGTCAAAACTAGAAAAATACTAAAAATGGCCTTTAGAATGAAAAAGTAAAATTCATATATATATATATATATATATATATGTATAATAAAAGCAAATATTACTTTTCAAAATTTAAAATAGTATCCCTTAAATTATAATTTTTTGAAACAGTTCTATAAAAATTAGATACTGAATTATTTATATTAGAAAAAGAAATATTTACATTTGAATTATATTGTTTTGACAAAGTTGAAAACAAAAAATCGGGTTTTTCATTATAATAATTATTTTTTGCATTAGATATGTTAGAAAAGTCTTCATTTTTATTATTTCTGTAAATATAATTATTTTCATGCTTAATAAAATGATGATTTCTTTCATCATTTCTTGAAGAGGTAATAGATGGTAGGCAGTTAAGTTGACATGCATTCGGATAATATGATAAAATATTAGAATTAATATTATTAAAATTACTAGTAGAATCTATATCTAAATCATTATTTGTATTAATATTATTATTATTACCACTTCTGTTATTATTATTACTACCATTAGAGGGTGTTATATTATTTTGATTAATAATGCTATTAAATAAATTAGAAGTATTAGAACTATTTAGATTATTCTCATTTCCTCTATTCATACTATTAAATTTATTTTCATAAAGGTTTGAATATTTCACTCTAAAATTATTATTTGGTGCATTATTATAAAAAGGTATTAAAGAAGTTAAGTTTAAATGATTATTTGATGGTTCAACTAATGCTTTTTGATGTAATAATTTATTACATAATTCCTGAGCGGAATGAACTACTTTTGATATTTTTTCTATATTAACTTCTGAGTGATCAATAACATAATTTCCTTTTGATGCTTTTATCAATGCCTTTTGCATCCATGATATATATTTAATTAATTCAATTATCATTGCAATAATTTCATCTCTATTTTTTGATTCAGTTTGATTAGCGTTGTTATTACCACTGCTACTACAGGAATTATTATTATTGTTAGTATAATTACTATTTTTTAATAAAGAATTTGCATTATTACTAGATTTAGAATTATATGTGCATAAATGCTGCTTACTATTATTATTACTGGAGCTACTGGTACTAGAATTATTGTTATTAGTAGTAGTATTATTAGTAGTAGTATTCGTATTAGTAGTATTAGTATTAGTATTAATATTATTATTATTATTACTATTATTACTATTATTATTACTATTACTATTATTATTATTACTGTTATTATTATTATTTATATTATTACTATTATTACTATTACTATTATTATTATTATTATTATTATTATTATTATTATTATTATTATTGTTATTATTTATATTATTATTATTTGTATTATTATTATTGCTTATATTATTATTATTATTACTACTACTACTACTACTAATATTATTATTATTATTACTATTGTTATCATGTGAAGAGTTATTTTTTTTATTATCTAATGCAACATCATTATTATTATTATTATTATTATTATTATTATTATTATTATTATTATTATTATTTTCATTTCTGTAATTGTTTAATTTTCTTGTATTATTTGTTTTAGCTATCAAGTTACGAGGTTTTACTCTGCAAGTATCACATCTAACTTTCCTTAAAAATCCTTCTATAGAAAATTTTGTTGCTTTTCTTTTTTTATGACAAATTTTACAAGTCATTTCAATTTCATCAGCAACTCTCAATGCTTCTCCTTTTGAAGTTGTAACTGCTACTATGGTTGTTTTTAACATAATAAGTGTGTCTGATAGATTGTTTTCACCTCCTGGAAAAAAAGCATGAATTTTTTTAATTTCTCCTTTTAAATTATATATCTTAAATACATCACCAAATAGCATGTATGAATTTTGAGTAACATAATAATGTTTTGTTTTTACTACAACTGCTCTATAATTAACAAAATAAACAGATTCTAATGAATTAGATATAATAGATGGTAAATATCTTATAGGTAATATTTTTTCCCCTTTTTCCCTTGAATATTTGGCATATTTATCTTCATCAGATGTAGTTTGCTCATCTTTTAACTTTTTCATTTTTATACATAAAAAAAAAAAATATATATTATCAAAGGAATATAAAGAAAATATATAACAGAAAAATGAAATTCAAAAAAAAAAAAAAAAAAAAAAAAAAAAAAAAAAAAAAAAAAAAAAAAAAAAAAAAAATTTTTTTTTTTTTTTTTTTTTTTTTTTTTTTATTTTTTTTTTTTTTTTTTTTTTTTTTTTTGAATTTCATTTTTCTGTTATATATTTTCTTTATATTCCTTTGATAATATATATTTTTTTTTTTTATGTATAAAA